AACTTGTGTCCAACACAGGATATATATATATCGTATATATTATTTTTAGTCTATTGTACTAAAAAAATTATATTTTTGTTTTATATCTTTTTTTTGTTAATTTGACTTTTATATAATAGAGAAGGATACATTACTATTTAAGAAAAAAACTTAATTGATGGAGATAACGCAAGCAATTGCCAGCATAAAAAAGTATTATTCAAGTCTGAATACATGAAACATGCATCAAGTACAAAAGTTTCATTCTTGCATGTGTTAGTCGAAAAATTTGCTGCCTGTTAAAACAATTTATTACAAATGTTGGCGATATTATTGAATATAATGCAGATGGATGGTGGCAACTGGCGAGCAATAGTTCTGCATTTAATACAACTATATATTGAGGAAACACATGAGCTGTGACAAAAGAGAGAGAGAAGAGAGAAGAGAGAAGAGAGAAGAGAATCATGGGCAGCCATGTGCACCATTTGCACGCTCCCTCCTCCTTTGTCGCAAACTATTCCTACAATCACATGGACTTCTTCATGTCTCCTCTCTTTTTCTTTCACCTATTCTTTCTTTATGTGCCCTTTTGTTTTTGCTTTTCTGCTCTTTTTTATTCAGATAAGCACTAATCTCTGAATTCTCTTTAGTTTAGACCATCCTAGGACCTAGATTTGCTATGAAATACTGTATATGTGATACCTTATTTGGCGAGAGGGCCTCGATAATTTATAATAAATATTCAAAAATTATTCCTAGAAAGCTTGTTTGTTGTGTTATTAGCATAGTTATAAAATATTATCTTAAAAATTTTCTAGTGATTAGGTTGATCAACTATCCGTTTGGGGAGGCGTTTCGGTGGTGGAGCGACACCACACCACACCGCAATTTTATTTGTTTTTGGTAAATTACATTTTGACAATTTTTTCAAAAGCAGCAGCTGAAATCTGCATTTTCCCACCGGTTTTGATTTGGTGCGGTAGCAACTTTCTAGCTGCGGTATGACTTTAAAAAATAAAATTGTAATAGCAACTACAACTTTTTAAACATCAAATTATTCTTGATAAGTTTCATAGATACTTTTTAATAACCTGTAGCTCCAAATGGATCCTAAGTTTATTAAAGAGTTGGTGAACGTAGAGGCTAGTTGGATGGCATTTACTTGTATTTAAAGTGTCAACTGTTTGTTTGGGGAGGCGTTTCGGCGGTGGACACACCGTAGTTTTATTTGTTTTTGGTAAATTGCATTTTGACAGCTTTTTTAAAAGCAGCAACTGAAATTTGTATTTTTCCACCGGTTCTGATTTGATGCGGTAGCAACTTTCTAGCTACGGTGTGACTTTAAAAAATAAAATTGTAATAGCAACCATAACTTTTTAAACATTAAATTATTTTTGAACAGTTTCATAGATACTTTTTAATAGTGTAGCTGCTCCAAATAGATCCTAAGTTTATTAAAGAGTTGGTGAACATAGAGGCTAGTTGGATGGCATTTACTTGTATTTAAATAACTCATGCATTGAGAACGTTCACAGCCTTCTTCCTCTTTAAAAAAAGATATTCCCGTCTTTTTTTCCCCTGCTCTTTAAAAGAAAGATATTCCCGTCTTTCTTTTCCCTGCTCCAATGAATTTGATTTCTTTTTAGTTTTTGCTTTATAAATATTTTTCGTTTTTCTTAATCCTACCCTTTGCATCAAAATCCTTGACAGCATGTTGTATTAGATGCTTATTTGAAGAAGAAGGTAGATATGTCATTATTTATTTGTTTATTTTTTATACCGTAATACTCTTATTTATATGATGGATTAATATGACAGTTTTTTTGGGTGTAAAGTTGTAACCCTATTTCGACTGTCTTTTTTCTTTCTCCCTACTTGTTGATAGTGGAAAAACATCTTTTCGCAGATGTAGGCGGATTTGCGCATGAGAAAAATGTAAATCCCACAGTGTTTGACTGTTTATTTATTTTGTGATTTTCGCATTGTTTTGCACCACAATTGGTATCAAAATTGGATTGATGTGATTCTGGCCATGGATGGTTGTGATTACGGCGAATCACTGCCACAAGAAACGAGATCATAGCAAGTTAGGTTTTGAGATCAGGTGGAGCAATGGATAATAGCATATCGTCAAGTATCTCAACGTCCACTAGAAAGGTGGGAAAGACGTCGAATTATTAATTGATTTTGCATCCCATCAAGAACGATATTATTAGATTTGAAGACAGAGAATAATTTTGACATACAATAGAGGGAAGGATGTAAAAAAATGCTCGTAATAGGATACGACAGGGCTCATGAAGGTTGTGGCTTCGATGTTGAGTTGCCACTTCAACTTTCATTGCTTGTTGGGCTAAAGAAGGAGGCTTGTGTCCCACTGAATGCCATGTCAACTGGTGTTGAACTATGTCAAGTTGTGTCCCAAATTGTGCCTAACTCAAGGTAAGATTTCGACATGATTTATACCATGTCGGGCATGTGTCGGCTATTGTTAAAGCTGAACTTGTGTCCAACACAGGT